CTCACACCCTCACACCCTCTCACCCTCATTCCGCCCACCGACTACCGACTACTTCACTGCTGACTGCTGACTACCGTGACTACTGAATACTGACTAACTAACGTTAACGTGTTTTTTTTTGGCACCCAGGCTTCGGGCTGTTCAACCTCGTGTTCTCGCTCCTCCCGAAGAAGGTGCAGTGAGTTGTCTGTCCTTTCCATCCTCCTTCCCTATCCTCCGTCCTCTATTCCCTCCCACCCCCTCCCTCCGCCCCTTCCTCCTCCCCCGGTCAACTGATCTTGACGACGCAACGACTCGACGACACAACGATTGGATGACGCTAACCCTGCCGCACGACAGATCCCTCGTCGGCCTCCTCGGCTTCAAGCACGACCGCGCGCTGGCGTTGCGGGCGTTGGCGGTGCGTTTCTTTTTACCTCTTTCGTTTTTTCGTTCGAGAGTTTTTTGGTGTTGGGAGTGACGTTGGCGAGTGACTCGTCCTGCTCGAGAGTGACTCGTGTTTCTGTGGTTGGGAGCGAGTGATCCGAGATTTCTTTCTTTCTTCCTTTTCTTTTTTGTTTGGCGTTTGCTTTTTGGTTTCGTTGTTGGCGAGGATTTTGATTGGGTACGAGCTTTCCTTCGTCTTGCTCGAGAGGGATTCGAGAGTGATTGGGGGCGAGTGATTCGAGATTTCTTTTTCTTCAATTCTTGGCTTCACTCTGCTTCACTTTACCGTTACCGTTTCCCTTTCGTTCCTTCGCTCTCCACGCCCCGGCCCATCTCGTCTCTTACTTGCTTTTACCTGCACTTGCTTTGCTTCTACTCGCACTTGCTTGCGTTCGCGTTCGCATTCGCGGCTTGTTCGCATCTCATCTCCTCTACATTCATCTCATCCCTCATCTCATCTACATTTATCTCACCCCTCTGATCTCGAACTGATCGCTACGTCGATTACAGCTCAGCGCAGGCGTCGTCGACGGCGGTGAAGGCGAAGGCGCGGCGACGGGGCGGGACGTGCATGGCGTGTTTGCGGGGTGCGTGTCTTTCTCTCTCCCTCCCTTCCCTTCCCTTCTCCCCCCTCCCTACCCTCCCTTCCGGTTCCTTCCCAACACCTTAAACCAACACTAACGTGAAAAACACTAAAACTAACACTAACGGGAAAAACGAACGCAGGCTAGTCCTAATGACCTTCCACGGCGTCGTGCTCCTGCTCGCGGGGTACCAGGCGGACGAGGCGCGCACGCTGAGGACGTATAGGGCTATTGTCGATTCGTGAGTCTCCTCTCCTTGCGCTCCTCTTTGGGGGGTTGTTTTTGGGAAGAGGGGGAGTGCACGCTGCCTCATTGGAAGAAGAAACCTGACAAGCATGGTATCCCTTGCAAACTGACACGCCGCACAGGATCGAGGCGCGCTACCCGACGGGGGCGTTGTGGATTTTGAATCGGGTGCGTGCGCATCGTCCGACCGATATCTCCTTCCGTTCCCAATCCCAATCCCAATCCCGCGCGAATCGCCCCCTGTCCTACGCGTTCCCTCCTCCTCACCCTTCTCATCGAACCGATGCTAATGTTACGTCCGAACCCCGCAGGCCAAGATCCTGCGCATGTCGGGCGACGCGCCGGGCGCGATCGCGGTGCTGCAGCGCGGGCTCGAGGGCCCGCAGACGTTCGTGCAGGCGGATACGCTTGTGCGTCTTTTTTCCTCTTATCTTTATTCGTCCATTTGTTCACGCCTTCCTCCTCCCTTCCCCCCTCCCTTCATACCCGTCTGGTGCGCTGATGTGTCGCGCACTGCAGCTCGTGTTCGAGCTCGCGTGGACGCTGCTCGCGCAGCGCCGGCACCAGGAGGCGGCGGATGCGTTTGTGAGGCTGACGGAGTTGAATTCGTGGTATGTCCAGCTTCCCCTTCCTTCTTTCCTTCCTTCGTCTCTGATTCTTTCTTTCTTTCTCGTTCCTTCTTTCTCTCTCCTCCCTCCCACCGCACCCCAGGTCACACGCCACATACTACTTCATCGCCGCCGGGTGCTACATCTCGCTCGGCAACCGCGCCAAGGCGCAGGAGCTTCTCGACGCTGTCCCGGATCTGCTTACGCGGCGGAAGATCAACGGGAAGGATCTGCCGACGGAGGTGCTTATACGGAAGAAGTGTAAGTCTCTTCTCTTCATGCCTTTTATCCCTTTATTCGGCCGGGATCGCGCGTCCTTTCGTCCGACGCGTTGCGCGGGAAGACGGCAAGATGAAAAAAATGAACGCGGATGCTAACGAGAGTTGCAGTGGAGTTTTACAAGGAGAAGCAGAAGAGGCGCGGGGGGGACCCGGCGCGGTATGTTGATTGCATTAGTATTAGTACTGCCGATGGTGAGGTCTCTTCGTCCGGCGTGGATATTTATTGGGCTGACGGATTACTTTGCAGAGCTCGGGATATGTACGAACCTTAGAAATTTGGGGGAAAGGGGAATGCTAACGCGACGACGACAGTCTGGAACACGTACCAGCGCATCGACGACGATGTCGCGGAGGCGCATATAGCTGAGCTGGCGGCGCTGACGCCGCACGTCGCGCTCGCTGTGCCGAGCCCGTTCCTGCCTGCGATTGACGAAAAGCACGCGGTGCCTGCGCAGGTGCGCCGTGCCCAGGCCGTGCTTACCTGCCAACTAGCTAACCGCGCCCCAGACGACCCCCGACCTCGACACCCCGGACGAACGCGCCCTGCGCCTCCTCCTGCTGGGCATCATGCACCGCACGCTGCGCCTCTACGCCCCCTCGCGCGCGCTGCTCGAGGCCGCGCGCGGGATGGCGGGGGTCAAAACCAGCACGTGGATCGCGGGGGTCGCGCTGTTCGAGCTCGCGGTGACGGACCTCAAGGAGGGGCAGGCCGCCGCGGACCCGGCGCTCGATCGCGGCGGGTGGCTGAAGGTGCTCGCGGCGGCGGACGCGCGGCTCGATGCGGCGCTGGGGTTTGCGGGGAAGAGCGATATTGATTTGTCGTCGCGGTTGGATAGCCGGATTGCGTTGTTGAGGGATGAGATTGCGGCGAAGCGCGCGATGGTGCAGGCGTGAGGGGTGGGTGGGTTGCTTGGGAGTGGGCGTGGGACGGACTGCTTAGATTTCTGGTTCACACACGGTCGAGCCTGGGTGGTAGATAGTTGCGATACTGTTATAGATTTATTTATGGTCGGTTTAATGATCTTTTGTGGTCCCAGTTCCGCTTCAGTCTTACGGCGCTCCGATAGAGATTTAACAGTACTCGATAATATTGGCACTGGGGGCCTTGTGAAAACCAATCGCCTGAGACTCAGATGTTCGGAATGACTATTGAGCACAAATAAAAAATCTGGAAGAGTTCAGGACGGTTGCGCGTTCACAGCGCAAATTTCACAGACCATAAACTCACCCGGGAGAAATCTGAAGGGCGGATATCATATCTCAGGCATTTCACCCAACTACGACAGGCCTCGATATACCTGGGCATCTTCGACGAGATGGTAGATTTTGACTGGGACAAGGACACCAAGGATAGGATTGGGAGCGATTGTGAAAGGTCGCGGAGCCAACGATTTGAAGTCGTCCCTAACGGCATTTTTTGCAGTGTGGAAATCGAACATAAAGATATCAAATATATAAGCTAGAAGCCGCAAAAAAAAGAATAGAAAATCACAAGCAAAGCAGAAAGTGAGAGATCTCGAGAAAGACGACCAAACGCTGTCCCTGCAACAATCATCTTGCTCACCCCCATCAACCGTCCCGCCTCCCCCATCAGCCCGCTCTCCATCCCCAGCGCGGCCTCGAGGAACGCGCACACGCCGAGGCCCAGGAGGTGGAACGGCGTCTGCGGCTGCGGCGGGGGCGGCGCCGCGAACGCCGTGCGCGCGTCGGCGATTTGGTTCGCGAAGAGGAAGGCGAAGCCGGCGTTGGCGGAGGCGAGCGCGAGTGCGGTGGGGGAGGTGTCGGGCGCGGGCGCCGATGCCGCTGGAGTCGAGTCCGCTGCTGACGGTGCGGATGTGCTCGTTGTCGTCGTCGTCGTCGTCGTCGTCGTCGAGCCCGCTGTCCTCATCGTCGTCGCTGTCATCGCCGGCTCAGAGTCCGGGCTCGTGGGCGTCGGCGTGGAGGAGGACATCGCTGGCTGGCTTTGCTGACGACGACGCGGAGATATCACATCAAAATCAAAATTCGTCAAATCCACCTCATGTAATCGGCCGCCTTCCGACACGTGCGTGCAACCAACTCCCTCTGGGTCTGTTCAAATTTCATGGCGTTGGTTGAACGTTGAACTTGACGTTATTGAATCGCAGACCTCAGAGGAATTCAGGAAAAATGATTTTCCAAACGAAAAAAGGTCAACACCTACCTATGCCACTGGTGGGAATCGAACCCACGTCTCCCTCTAACTTGATTACTACCTTTATTACAGATGAGGGTGATCTCCATGATCCACAGCAGCTCCCTTCAGGTTGCTCAGGTTTCAATTTGAGTATGAACATCAATCAATGTGCTTTCCCCAAAGCATGCAGCATGCACAATCACAAATGAGCGGGTGACCTCATTCAATCCGGCGCCTTCCGACACCTCTGCCAGTGTCGAATACAATTCAACTTCAACTTGACGTTATCGAATTGCGGCGTCCAGCTAGTGCGGAGGACGCCATTTCAAAATCATTTTAAAAAAATCACTACAGCTGAATGCCGCCAGTGGGAGTCGAACCCACGTCTGCCTCGTATGTCTACTTTCGAAGCAAAGGTTGGAGGCCAATCTCCGTGATCTACAGCAGCTTCCTTCAGTAGCCCAGTCCTGGATCATAGTGTACCTGGGCAGTACATGTAGGTATCAGCCATCAACTCTGTGCAATGCCCATCCAACTTGATGCTTCCACATGCACAGCTTTCAGCCCGTTCATCTGAACACAGAAGCCTCAGGCCCACACAAATTTCCATAGACTCCGGATCCGAAATTCCGACAGAATTCCAGCACGCTGCATAAAGAATACGAAGGATAAAAAAATATGCTTCATTACATGTATTACATGCCACTGACGGGAGTCGAACCCGCGTCACCCTCAGACTTGACATCCACAACCATATTAGTTGAGGGTGATCCCCCTGATCCACAGCAGCTTGGCTAAAATGGCTCAGCCTTGAATTATAGTGTACCTAGATAGTACATGCATTAATTTTTCAACTCTGTGTTTCCCATTCCTTCAGATTCAGGCCCCAACAAACTGTAAATACTTCACAAAGGTACACCGAGTCCGGATCCAATATTCCAACCACGCCGAAGAAAGAATAAGAAAAAGAAAAATTCCCTCCCATTAGTTTATGCCACTGGCAGGAGTCGAACCCACATCTGCCTCATACCAACCTGTTCTGGATGCCAAAGTTAGAGGCTGATCTCCGTGATCTACAGCAGCTTCCTTGAGACTGTTCAGCTCTGAGCTATAGTGTCCTTGTACAGTGAATGTATGTAGCAGCCATCAACTCTGGGGCTGCAATTATATGTTTTCACAACTGCACACAGAAATCCCCAATAGTTCCCTAAATACTAAACAAGTCCAACAGAAAAATGAACACACAGCTTGACGAATAAGAAACAAAAAACATATCTCCAACTCTATATGCCACTGGTGGGAGTCGAACCCACATCTGCCTCACACCTTTGTGATATCCAAGACCAAGTTTGGAGGCTGATCTCCGTGATCCACAGCAGCTTCAATGAATCTAAGAGTGTTCAGCCCTGAATTATAGTGTCCTTGTACATTGAATGTATGTAGCCATCAACTCTGGGGCTGCAATTATATGTTTTCACAACTGCACACAGAAATCCCCAACAAGTTCCAGATCATAAATCCTAAATAAACATTCCTAACAGAAAGAATACAAAGAAGAAGAAAAAACCAGTCTAGAACCATTGTATGCCACTGGCGGGAGTGGAACCCACATCTGCCTCATGCTTCAATGTAGCTCCTGTAAGGTTGGAGGCTGATCTCCATGATCTACAGCAGCTTGCTTGAGACTGCTCTGAATGATAGTGTATGGTCCTTGTACAGTACATGTATTAACCTTCAACTCTATGCTTCCCATTCTTCCCTTTCCATTCCATCGAATTCAGGTCCCTACAATTCCCCGTAAATATGAGACAAAAGCAGACCAAGTCCGGATCAAAATTCCCACCACACCGCAGAAATAATAAGAAAAAGATAAACTGGTCTGGAACCATTATATGCTACTGGTGGGATTCGAACCCACATCTCCCTCAGAACAGAGATAGAGCACAAAGCATTAGATGAGGGCAATCCCCGATCCACAGTAGCTTCTTTAACACTGTTCAGCTTTGGATTATAGTGTACTTGTACAGTACATGTACTAACCCTCAACTCTATGCTTCCACACAGAAGCCCTGGCCCCAACAGTTCCTGTGAATACCAAACAAAATCAGAATCAATTAGCAGTACTATGTACGGAGGTCCAGATCCTTGTGACTATGGATATGTGTGTGCTTTCCAAGGAGCCCAGCAAATACAATCACAAACACCAGGAGGATAACTAGATAACCTATGCCAAAACATTGAAAAGATATGGAGAAAATATTTACAATAACTTTCGGATGTTTGTGGCCTCAAACATGCAGAAGGTATTCAAAAGATATGCTTAGATCAGCATATATTTTGAATACTTTCTGCCTCTTCTCAATGCATTGTGCATTATTTGAGCAACAGACATCTGAAAGGTATTGTAAATATTTTATCCATATTTTTTGAATGTCTTGGCATGGATTATTTTGTTATCCTCCCTGTGAAATGAGGAAAAACACTCTTCATGTAAACATTCAAGTTACATTGTAATCAGCTGCAATCCAGCACATGCACTGTCACTGATTCAACTTGATTTAGGCCCCCACAGAGAATAAAACTCCAGAGTTGCAACCCCCATAAATCCGAAACAAAAGCAGACCAAGTCCGGATCAAAATTTAACCACACTGCATAAAGAAGAACAAGAAGAAATTGCACTATCTGATCATGCTACTGGCGGGAGGCAGGTATGCTTACGAGAGTGAATGAAGTCTCCGGAGTGGGAGTGGAGGAAGACAGCTGCGTGTGCTTCGTGCATATTCGGACAAGGACAGCCGGTGACCCGCTATTCTCCCACGTCAAAGTCAATATCGAGATGCCCTCGTCAGCCCTCGTCTCAAAAGACATTAGGGACCTTTCATTTCAACTTCATTTCGTTTTGATTTCATATCACCTGGGATCCCGAACCGAACCTCGGCAAGAGCTCCATTTTGGCATTGTACTCGGGATCAGCGGAGCTTGAACATATAGTACAATAGAGTTGAATTATCTTCCGCTATTGACTCCGCTGAATCTGCATTCATAAATAATCAATACGTTTTCTAGGAACATGTCGCGTTTTCTGTGCGAATAATCGCTACCCTCCATCTTTGGGCAAGGCAGTTTCTGTCGAATTTCTCCACCCGCAACCTCATCCTTTGCAACTTACGCCTGTAAAGCGATGCATAGAAATTCAGGCCGCTAATTACCCGCCCGCCAATTCCTCCCATCTTTCTAGTCGTGAGCGTGTTTTGATCCCGATGCCCGTAATAATAATCCACGCTCGTTGCTGACACTGAACTCGGCAAAGGAACACCTTTCATTATTTCTGTCATGTCCACTGCTTGGGAACAAATATTTCGGAGGTAGTCAAGATCCCAACATACCTAATTTACTGTCGAATCGATAGCAATGGAGCTCTGTCTGCATAACATCAGGCGAGAGCATCTGAGTCGTAATAAGTCGCAGATGAACCTCGGTCGACACGGGGTCCAGTGGCCAATAGGTTGAGTCCTATCTGCCTGTGTTACATAGTGTTCCTTTGCATATCTTGATTTACGGCGGAGCCTTGGAGGTATAAGTCCACGGCCGTCAGTCACTGCAGACAACTGAAGAGACTTTACATCAGCGCATTTACGGTTTCCCCCAATCATTCGTCCCCCTTTTCGAGATCCCAGCACATTTACCGTCGGCCCGATAGCAGTCAGAGCTGCATTTGTACAGCATCGTTTGCAAGATTTACTGCAAAAAATAGCCTCGTTCGACTCGGGGTCGAGATCTCTACGGACCGCTATTTGAAATAGTAGTATTTACTTCCGATGAGTTGGAGCTTGGGCAGCATCTGGTTAGTCTTTGCACCTTTCATGTAGCACTTCTCATACGTAAGCTGGACTAATTTTCGGGAACTCGAAACGTGCGACGGAGTCCTTTAACTTCGGATCAACGCACTATTCCACGCCAGACGAGGGATTTCCTGAGCCTTGCGGTCGTAAAGAGAAAGCTATTCAGGATGACTACATAAAATATGTACAGAAAGGTGTAAGTTACGCTTCAAGCAACGGAATTATGACGGACGTCGGCAGTCTCTCCATTCGGTTTTCTGCCCACGTAGCAGTAACAATCTTCCAAACTGTGTCCGTCATCGTTTCAGGCCGTTCTGGGCGCTCACCCTGAACAATCTTGAATATTACGGCGGCTTCCGTGAGTTTCGCAAAGGGCGGTTTTCCGGTGTGGAGCTATCCATGTGAGTGTTTGAACTTACGAGAGTTAGAAAGGAAACATACCTCAATGCATACGCAGGCAAACGCATAGATGTCCGTCGCCCGTGTCCGCACGAACCGCTCAACACCGAACCGCAACGGATCTATTAGCTCTGGAGCGAACCAACGCATGCTCCCGGCACGATTTGAGCTGGAGTTTTGGTCTCCTTCACCGTTCACAATCGTCGTTGTAAGGCCAAAATCTGCCAGGCAAACGTGGAAGTCGTCCGAGATGAGGATATTGTTACCTCGCAGATCTCCGTGGACGATATTCATGCTGTGAAGGTATTCCAATCCCGTTACAATTTCTAGGATCTGAGATATGATTGAGTTTTGTTGTTTTGTTTTATAAAAACAGTTCCAGTGCACTTTACTTACCACTCTTGGAGGCACCATAAGACCATTTTGAGGGTATCCTGGCTTGCCCGAGCGACCCAAATATTCAAGCACAGTACCATTGCTCATCCAAGGCGATACCAAGCACAAGGCAGATGGGAAAGTCTCCCTGTCAATACCAAGAAAGGGAAGGATAAATGGATGCTGCAGGTTCTGCCAGACCAAGGCCTCGCGGCAGAATTTCTACGTGGAGTTAATTCACCCGTAATTGGACAAAAAAAATTGGACATACACTGCGATCCTTGGTTGATGAAGAACTTCCAGCAAATCGGCGAATGCGTTTCAATGCAACTAGACCGCCGTCATAGGACGCCCGGTACACGTCTCCGAAGCCTCCGCAGAACGTTGGATGTTGATCGGCATTGGAAACCCCAGATATGAAAAACGATGTCGGTAACTGGTCACTCTTTTCGGAAAGTTTCATCAGCAATGTGCGAGCTTTGGTAGCGTGCCATGCGGTAGGTAATGTTCCGTGGTTGAGCACCTGTTCACCTATTACAAAACAACAATCTAAATTTATGATCTTTCAACCTACATCCTGGATTGAGTCGAGGAATAATTGCGCTTTGAAGAGAGAAAGATCCATGACCACGCGAGTGGCAACCGGTGAATCGAGAACCATTTGGAGAGAGTGACAAAGAACCGTTTCCATGTGATGAGGCTGCTTGAGATGAATACCTATCGACTGTATGACATGGAAATGTGTGCTTACCTGCCCTAAATCATCTTTGAGATACCGCCAGGTCGCAATCAGTCTGTCGACATGATCCACCGTCGTAGATGTTAGCGAAGGTGAGACAAGTGAATTTGAAGAAGGATCCATTTCTTGAGATGGGGTTTGCATTTCACGATGAATATGCGAAATAGATCCATGCTCCCCCTCAGTTATCTGCAACCACCTTGAAAATCCTTTCGGGCCAGGATTCTGACCTGTTCCGTGTCGGTCGTGATCGACCCCCAAAATACAACTGGAGAGTCGCAGCTTCTTCAGGGTGGCCCATGAGGGCATGAAACCCGCCATCATGCTCCTCCCATATAGGTAGCTCGCCGATGATCTGCGGCTGCTCTATATCAAGACCTCTTGGCTTCTTCTGCACTGGGATTGCTATTCCCAATGGCATGATTGTGGATGGG